TTGCTTGCGGGTATTCGGTAGAGCCCAGCTCCCTTGCCCATGTGGTTTGTTTGCCTGATGGCATTTTATTTCATTTCTTCTGTATGACTGCAGTTTACTGTATTTTGCTTGATAGCATATTGTTTATATTTCAGTATGATTACTGTTATCCATTCTGGCTTGAGGTTGAGATGAGCTTGTGGAGGCTGAAGCCCCACACCCATTTCCTCCCTCACTTGCATTGCATGTATTTTACTGTTTAAAGCTGATGCTTTGTCTGTTTTGGTGTATCATTGACATGATCCTTTAGGACTCTCATTTCCTTTGATAAGGAATTGATGATAGAATTTTAGGTTGAAACCTATGCATGACAACTTCTAGGAGTTCCCTGTTCAAACCTCAACCATAGGATGAATCCTTGGCATGACAACAGTAGGACTTGATAGTCTCCCTCCTAGTTGGGCCTGTTCTCTTCTCATCTCAAAACAGTTTAAGATACAGTAATCATGAGTGATTTCTTTCGTACGTTACGAGCCTTAAGCTATCTGAGAAAGGGTTGTGGGAGAGTTTCTTTTCCACAGTCTGGATGTTTATTATGGTAACCTTTGGGTGACATGCGACGCATTCACTCTCAGGTCATAGTCTCTAGTGCGATTGAAATTTCAAACACAATAAAAAACACTTCTTTCGTAAAAGACAGGAAATAAACCGTAGTGTCCCGAACTACGTGAGCTCTGATCTCTCATACCTGTTGAGAGTACGTAGGCACAGTACTGATGTATTGGCGAGCTACCTTCCCCATAACCCGTCGTAGGTCGAACTACGTTGACTCTGATTTCTCGTTCTCTGATGAGAATACGTAGGCATAAAGTGCGACGCTTTGCCGAGTCATTTTTCTTTTAAGCCAACCTTGATAGGTAGATAGATGAAACCAACCCGTCCAAGTAAACACAACAAGCGTGGATCCCGTCGAGTACGACGGACGTGAGGGGTGCTAATACCTTCCCCTTGCGTAACCGACTCCCGAATCCAGACAATGGTTGCGACGACCTTGTCTTACCCTTTTTCGTCAGATTTTTCCGATCGTTTCCTTTCCCGCTCTGAGGGATAAATAACGAAAGGTGGCGACTCTTCTGTTGTGCTGGCACCTTATTTTCGCGCAAGCGACACCCTCTAGTGAAAAGGGTATTTATAGTGAGCCCCCAATGCAGGGCCAATGGTTTCCTAGCACTGGGCTAGGTTGCCAGGCCCAATGTTAGTAACTGCTAGGGCTGACGTGGCATCATGAGGACCAGCACGTGGTCTTCGTTCTAGGGTAACTGTTCCCCGCTATCCGGGAGGAGGAATGCCTAATCTCCAGGACGTGGGTAGTTACTTTATGACGTGTCCCTGCGTGAGGGGCACGTGGAGAACGTGGGGGAGGCTCGAGAAGCTCCCCGGGCAGGCAGGATTCTGCTCAACAACGGGGGAGGAAGAGGCTGGCTAGTCGGCTGTGAGGGTTCTGCCCGACAGCTGTTGACCTATGCCCGATGGGGGGAAGGTTGTGCTCGGATGAGCTTCTGCCCATCGGCGTGGTACTCTTGGGCCCTAACCTCATTGGGGTTTGGGCCTGTTTGGTTGTGGGTTAAGCATCGGCCCATTCCAGAACAGATACATTTAACAGCATGCCAAAATCAGGACAGTAGGTGTAAAAGGTTCAGGCAGCATGTATGCATCAACAATGAAGCAACACATGAAGCAAACAATAATCATAAAAGAGCATGCATAACAAGTCAAACCAAGCATCAAGATTGCAAATAACTAAGATTAAGCAACAATTGGCATATGATCAAGTCATCCAACAACAACACATGATTATGCATGCACAATTCAACAAAGGCATATGGCATCGTGCAGACCAAACATGAACACATATCAAGCAAGGTTAATTGATGAACATGTATTAATAATTAAGCACAAGTAAACTCAACAAGATTGCACAATTAAACATTCAATAAGAACATCATGCATATTCCACAACAATTAATCGTTTCGAACACACGTACATTTGCAGAATCAGAATCAAACAATGATCATGTAACACAAATCCAGTAAGCTAAACATCAAGAACTAACAATTGACATGGTACAAATGAGTATTCAACATGATTATCACACCAAGAGTGCAAAACAAAAGTCACGGATGTGCAACATGAAAACCACAAGTCGCGCGTCGAAGAATCACAAACATGCTATCAAGTATGATGAAATAGCTCAAAAACATTCCACACATATGCATCATATCAATCCATGAGGTTTATAGAGGGAAAGGGATCCAAACAAGCCTAAAAAAGCAAGAAAATCACATTCTGCAGTAGGTGTAATCGGTTAACCTCCTGGTGTTAACCGATTACACCATAAAAATCAGCCAAAAAACACGTTCAACAGTAGTGTTAATTGGTTAACACCAGGAGGTTATCCGATTAACACTATACCCGAAAAAAAAAAGCTTTTAAAAGCACTTTTCAACAGCAAATCGATTATGCATTCATCCACATGCTTAGGAAATCAATTATGCACGAAAACTATACTAAATCACAACAATCACACATCAATTGGATCCAAAAAACACCAAAATTAATAATCAAAACAATCAATGGACCAATTATCACCAATAATCAATAGATCTACATTGTGAAATGCAAGATTAAGCAAAATCAAAGCTAGATCTAGAATTTACCAACCTACAAAGCTGAGAACTGCTTTAGTGAGTGTTGTTAAGCTGCAATTGACAGATCCAAGCAAGAATCCAAGGATCTATGAAGCTCTTGCAAGAAAAGTTGAAGATCCAAGCAATAATCCACAAATAAGCAAAAACTCCTAAAAAAAAGTGATTTCAAAAACTTGATCAAGATCCAAATGAGTTGCAAAATCATAATTGAAACAAGGATGATGGTGTAATGGAGGTTTAGCTCAAGAATTCATAAACTGCAATGTACAATTTGTGAAGCCTTTGGTTATGGAGCTTTTGTGAGGGTTTTGAAATGAGAGAAAAGTTTAGAGAATTAGAAAGAGACGTGTAGACAAATCAGAAAATGAGTCAATCTTCCATAGGTTTGGAGCAAATTGATTTAAGTATGGTTTAGGTTTGGAATTAAATGTGGTTTGTAATGTGGGTTAGTATTAGGAATAAAAATTAGGAGTCGAATTAGGAATGAAAATGTTTGAATATTTGGAGGGAAGTGAAATTAATTTTGAATGATGAATCAAAATTTGAACCACTTCTAGATCCTTCTACTGGTGTAGAATGAATGCAAGTGATTGGAACGAGATCTTAAGCTGCAGCGCTGAAAAATGAAACATTTGGGCAAATTCTGCACTGGTTAACCGATTAACCAAATTTTCCTAGCAAATGGTTAATCAGTTAACACCCCTAAAATTTGAATTTTCTTGGCGCCATAAGGAGGGAAGCCCAGGGAATCAACTATTACCTCAATAACTTTTGATCTATGCATTTTTTGGACCTGCCTCCTTCTACAAACTTGTAGTTCATGATGAGTTCTTCAATTTGACTACAAATATTGCAAGATAGTCCCATAAACACAAATCCTGCGCAAAACCCTGATTTAGCATCTTCTTCTGATTTCTCCTAATTTCTCTTGAATAACCTTCATAATACCCTGGATGATGACTTGAAATGCCCAAATATGACCCTAGAACTCAAGGGTTGAATTTTGTAGGGCATCATTTGACTTTACAACCAAATGAGTTAAAATCCTCCTCTACTCACTTCAAAAACTCCTGAAACAACTTGTGATGAACCATGAGGTATCTGTAAACCCTCTGAGATGTATGTTGACTCTTGTTCAAGAAAACAAAAGATACCTTGATATCATGTTTAGAACCAATACTATGCACAAATGAAGATGCAAATGAATGAAACATAAGCCAGTTAAGGTTAGAAATGAGAGAGAAAAATTTGGGGTGCTACACATGTGTCGACCTGAAATGAGAATATGCCGGCACATGCAGTGCATTTTTATGCAGCAACTTATTTTCATGATTTTGGACATTGGACATTTGAAGTAGTTTATGATTCCTAATTCCTAAGACCTCTAATGCAATAGTGTCACACACAATTAGAAATACTTAAAGTTTTGACATCATGCAAAACATCTAAAGGAAAAGTTGCACACTCACAATCATTACTGTTTTCGTTAAAGCAATTGCACATCTTGCGACCAAATTTAGACATTGGCACATGCTTATCGTTACTCTCTTCAATGAAACTCTCTGAACTATTTTCGCTAATCAAATTGAGCTCGACTCAAAATGTTCACTGAACCTATCGCTAAAGCTATGAGGTCATCGTTTAAGAAGATCGATGAAAAAAAGAAGAAGAAAGAGGAGGGAGAAGTTAGGTTTGAAAAAAGGAGAGAGGTAAAAGAGAAGGTGTTGTTGGAGAGTGAGAGATGTTGTAACGAGAAAAAATGTTATTATCCGGATTAAAGCATGTCCCAAATTTGAAAGAGAATTCAAAAAACTTCCACCACTTAACAATATGAATTACTCTGATTGACCAATGAATTATTATTTAGTCAATTACGTTAAAGGAGTTTTGCTAATGTAAATGTTATTTGTATTAGAAGGTAAATTAGAGAGATCATTAGCATGTTCTATGCTTAGTTAGATAGTTGACGAGTTATTATGATTGGACAATGAATTATTATTTAATCAATTACTTAAAAAAAATGGTGTTTGCTAATATAAATGTTATTTGTGTTAAAAGGGAAAATTAGAGAAATCATTAACATGGTCGAACAAAATTACTATCTCTTTAATTTTTCATCCTAACTTATTTTGTGCGGACCCGAAATAGTTGCAATTTGTAGTTGTAGGTGCTCGCTCGCTAATATCGCAATAAATTGGAAATTGGAATTGGATTCATCGTCACTTCAAACCTTCGCCTCTCTTTCGTTATTCTCGAAAAGCTTTCAGACCCAAAAAGCAGAGAAAAAAAAGCATCCAACAACGGAGAGAACAATGAGGCCATCCATGCTCAGATCCATCCACTCAGTCGTTTCCCGCAACCGCTCTCACCTAGCCCGCCGTGGCTATGCCACCGAACCGGTTCCAGAACGCAAGGTGGCCATTCTCGGCGCTGCCGGCGGGATCGGTCAGCCCCTCTCTCTTCTGATGAAGCTCAACCCTCTCGTTTCAAGCCTATCTCTTTACGATATCGCTGGAACTCCTGGTGTTGCCGCCGATGTTAGCCACATCAACTCCAGATCTGAGGTACCCTACATTTTCTACGTATATTTAATCGATTTTGATGGTTTTCTACGTATATTCAATCGATTTTTCTACGTATAACTCCAGATCTGATGCAACCTCTATTTTTTTAATGTTATTGTACATTCTACTGTTGTACCTTCTGCAGTTGCATGCTAATTTTACTGTAGTGTAGTGTTGTTGGGCTATGGAGTGAGGTTTTTTGTTTCCTTTTTGGTTTTAATTGCAGGTTGCTGGGTATGCGGGTGAGGAAGAGCTTGGTAAAGCTTTGGAGGGTGCTGATGTTGTTATTATTCCTGCTGGTGTGCCAAGAAAGCCTGGAATGACTCGTGATGATCTTTTCAATATTAATGCTGGCATTGTCAAGTCACTTGCCACTGCTATTGCTAAGTACTGCCCCCATGTGAGTGTCTGTTTTCCTTGAGTTGCCTTTTGTTGTTGCCCGACTCTTTAGTTTTTTTTGCTTTGGGTTTCTATGTGAAAACATGTATTTGTTTCTTTGTTCATTGCAATTGGTTTTGTGCAATAATCAGTTAATTTCCTTTTAGTTACCGTTATTATGGACTTGTGTTTGGTTCTGCCTTGACAATAATTGATTCTAAATGAATTGATTCTGGCTAAAAGTGAGGTGAAGGTAAAGTGATTCATGTTTGGATACATTCATGCAAAAGTGAGTTGAACAGTGAATTCAGTGTAAAAATCATGTTTAGATTTTTAAGCTACAGATCCTAACTACTAATAGAATCAATTTTGAAAGGCATAATCGATTAATTCTACTTTTGATGAACCAAAAACTTCAAAATAGATTCTACACCTCTAGAATTGCTTTTACCTCTTTTGAAATGAAAGCAAAACACACACTTACTTTTAGACTTGATAGTGTATTTCTCTAATAAACAGCATATTATGGGTATTGCTTTGATTTCAAAATTTATTTTGAGACCAATAATAGTTAGAATTGATTGACATATTGTTTTTATTTTTTTATATCCATCAAAAGTATAGGATTTACAAGTTGGAAATTTGGGAACCAATTAAGTGTACATATTTAATAAATTGTTATTAGTAAATATTTACTGGTTTTGTTCTATATTAAGCATGGTGGGATTTTAGCTTTTACAATCATGTAGTATAATTTTTTTTTTTGATACTGACTATTTTTTACATTTGGAATCAGGCCCTTGTTAACATGATAAGCAACCCTGTGAACTCCACAGTTCCCATTGCTGCAGAGGTTTTCAAGAAGGCAGGGACATATGACGAAAAGAGATTGTTTGGTGTTACCACCCTTGATGTGGTTAGGGCAAAAACTTTCTATGCTGGCAAAGCTAAAGTTCCAGTTGCTGATGTCAATGTACCTGTTATAGGAGGACATGCAGGAGTTACTATTCTCCCACTATTTTCTCAGGTAGTTCCCTGCTATTTAACATGACATTTTGTTTTGGCTTCCTAGGGCTAGTATGCTTGATATGTATGTGGTCTATTAACTGTTTTTCTTTTGTATAGGCAACACCTTCTGCCAATCTGAGTGCTGATGTCATTGAGGCTCTAACAAAGAGGACTCAAGATGGTGGAACAGAAGTTGTGACTGCCAAGGCTGGAAAGGGTTCTGCAACTTTGTCCATGGCGTAAGTCTTGGTTTAGTCATTGTATACACTATTGTAATTCTCTAGAAACATTGTTTATTAAGTGATTATGATTCCTTGGTGAATTTTCATATGATTGATATGTAAAGCATTTGCATGTTTCTCGCAGTTATGCTGGAGCCATATTTGCTGATGCTTGCCTCAAAGGTCTTAACGGAGTTCCAGATGTCGTTGAGTGCTCATATGTGCAATCCAATATCATCAGTGAACTTCCTTTCTTTGCTTCCAAGGTGATTTAAACTGCAATAAACTGTGCTCTTTTATGTTTCTAATTTTCTTCTCCCAATACTTTAAGATTCATTCTCTTGTTATTTGCCGATGCATAGCGCTTTTTCTCTTTTAACTTGTGTTCACAGAAATGCTGATCCATGTTGACCGGCTGCTTTTTTTTTTTTTTTTGCATTGACTAAAATACTGAAACATTATACAGGTGAGAATTGGGAAGAATGGTGTTGAGGAAATTCTGGGCTTAGGTTCTCTCTCAGATTTTGAGCAAGAAGGTCTTGAAAAACTCAAGTCTGAACTCAAATCATCTATTGAAAAGGGAATCAAATTTGCCTCCCAGTAATCAAACATGTGATACATTTCCAGCAGGTTGCTGGTTTTTCCCTTCCATTTTGAACCAATTCAAATTTTGCAAATTCAGGACCATTGTTTGTAATGTTGCCAACATAGGCGGTGGCTTTGTTGTTTTATTTATAGAGCAGGGTATACTATTATATTATATAAATAATAATTAAATCCGCGAGAGTGGTTTATTGCCGCATGGATTGAAACTAAAACCAGTTTTAGATTGGCCTTTCCATTCATAATGGCCCCTTCTTCACTAATGTATGGTTTCATCTAATGCAATTTGAAGAGTGATGCGCATTTTTTTTCTCATTTAATTTTCTTTCTAGTTTTATTGCAATGGAAGGTATTTTTGCTGGCCTTAAAGCTCGTAACTTTTTCTTTTCTTCATCCATTTACATATTTATTTGTGATGGTGAATTGGATTGATTTGGTTGAGATGAAAAATTATTTGTTCTAATATCATCTAATCTACTTGATTTTACCAATCAACAATTGGCTTAGCTGAAGAAACTAAGGGAGTCTGTTTGGCTTTGCAAGACATTATTTTGAGTTTATATAAGTTCATATAATTCTTGTTTAAAATAGATTATTTTGATCGCAATTTTTATTAGTTATATATTGCACAGAGTAAGCACATGATATGAAAACTCAGTAAAATAAATTTTGTATGTAATCATTACATACAAAGGAAGAAGCTTAGGGTTATATATTGCTTTAGTCTTTTATGAAAATAAAAAGAGAAATTTTTTATTGAACTCTACTTCTAGGGCACTATGGGAATTTTCAAATATGTTTTTTATTTTATTTTTAGAGATATATTTTTAGATGTATATTTTACACACTCAACAAAGATAATTTAGAAAAGCGTCCTATATGTTGAGTTTAATTTGTTTTGGAAGTTCATCTTTGTAATACATCTGTAGTTACATCTCCGAAAAAACACCAGCAACAGTTTTAGTAGAAAATGAACTTTTCAAAATGCAATTGACATTTATAATATAAATGATCATTACAATGATGATTTTAACAGAAATTTCAATATTACATTTTAATATTCTGGTGGATGTTTGCACATCTTCAGGATATCTTTGATCGATCTTTGTATCGTCGCTTCCAATTCGAGCGAAACTTTCTCTTCAAAATCGAAATATGTATCCCACGTAGGCCTAACATCCGCTCGAGTCTTGAGCTCAAATTTGCTGAACACAATGTTTCCTTCGTTGTCAATCAAAGGTGAACGGTACTCAATCTTCACAATCCTTTGTTTGTCTCCGTAAGATAGGAGCTTAAACGTCTTCCAGGTGTAGATCCGCCGGAGTAGGAGACATTTGCGACATACCAATGGATGTTTAACACAAGAACACCTAAATTTATAGAAGACCTAACTCAATATGGACCACTTATTAACTGTCATGTTGATTCCAGATATATATCTTCGAAACCGCACTCTATTATCTTGTTTTGGAGATGTACATCTCTGAAACTTCTCTTGAACCATTTAAAAAAAGAACCATATAACAGAACCTTTCGGAGAAATATCTCCGGAATTTCTCCTGAAACATTTTCTAAACAGAAGCATATAACATAACCTTCACAAAGAGCAAATATGCATAAAGACCAAATATGAATAAAAGGTGAATATGTAACACTTCATTTATATTGAGATACAAATATGTACAATTATTTGTCCATTTAAACAAGAAATCAAAACGAATCGAAACATGTGTCACCAGATAAATCTATAGGTGGTTTTGACTCTTAATTTCGACGCCTGAATGAGATTAAAAAGTAGGAAATAGATTTTTCCGAAGAAATTTAATGACTTCGATTGAAGCCATATTTTTGGAATTTTAGTCGAAGATGTCCTTTCGCCAGGAGAATCTAAGTTACGGGTTTAGAGATATTTCTTAGCAGTTGGAAGACTCGATTCGGCAGAAGTGCCACTAAAGACATTTCGACAGGAAGGTTTGAATTCAAATAAAGGAGGGAAAGTTCAGTCTCATCCATTCCTCAAAGAAGCCACGTGAAGCGCTTCTAGGATTCAAAGGCATGCAGAGCGACACTTGTCTCAATTTCGTTTACTAGCTTTTAGTGACAGTTATTTTTTATTAGTATAAATAACAAGTCTTAGTGTTAGGATTTGTGTGTGATCAATTGTGTACAAATTCTTCAGTATACTCCAAGTACTCGTGTGTTGAGAGAAACGAGTTTGTAAGAATGTACGTTGATGTAACACTATCTTTTCATTTCAATACAATTTAATAAATATTTTTCCTTAAGAATTTACTCTTTCTTTATGCAAGTTTTTTGTCTTCATCATTTACCAGTACTTCGATTTTACTTCTTTTTTCCCAAATCCGTTTACACTTGAAATAAGTTATTTTATCATGAACCCTGTCGAAGTGTTCATTGTCTTTATAAACTTTATTTAAGATCAATTAGCACATGTCATAGGATTTGTGTGTTCGCTCCTGCAAGTAAAACATATCCTTTTCGATTTGTAAGACCAACGGTTGTTCACCAATTTTCACGGCGAACAAATTGGCATGCCCAGTAGGACGGTGCTAAGTGATCATAAAATTTGCTTAAAAATTTAAAAAATTTATTAATTCTGCGGTCAACTTTTTCTGTAAAAAACTTCGTTGCATGTTATTAAGAAGTGGTAAAGTAGCCACCGCTAACGAAGATAGAACAAGAAGATATAGTAGGAGAATGACAGAAAATTCAAACCATCCAAGTATTCCTCAAGATATGCCTAATAATAATGTAGAACAACCCATAGGATCTTCGACAGGAGGACCAACAGTCTCAGTGCCTGTGTCTGAAGCAATTCCATCTATGGGAAGTTCGGTACCTACACATTCGATTACCCATAAGTAACCTATTCTGACTTATATTGGGCCTAGGGGCCCTCCACAGACTCCATCACCAATAGGGGCTTCAACATTCAGAAGCATCTCTCCTTCTGGGTTTTCAATACCGTTCCCTCGAGGCCCACCCAATGGAATGCCAACTTCAATGATGGCAAACTTACAAAACGCCCATCTGTTATAAATAGAACCCGTAATGACTTCGCCATTACAGGGATCTGATTCTGGGGCGAATATGGGCCGAAATAGTCAAAATTTAGGAATAAGGTATTCAGCCCAAATGCCAAATTTGACAACCAGTTCTGCATCATACTTGAGACAACAAATGGACGAAAGTAACCTTCAAATAGTCCAAATGATGTCCCAAACTATGGTGGAAAATTTTCAGCCCCTTATTCAAAATACTACCCAAACTGATCAACAATTAGCAGCGCAAATGACGCGCCTTGTAGAATTATTTAGTGTATCAAATCCCCCTCGACAACCACCGAGGGAGTATACGATAGAAAACCAAGGGGTAGTTTTTGACGAAGACACCACCATTAACCAAATTCAACTAAAACCCGAGAAATATACCCCAGGCAAATCAAAACAAACAGGGAATGATCGAAAAACCTAGAGTTGAACCCCCTAGGAATCAACCACAAGTTCCTAGAGAAGAAGAACCAAGGGTAGTTTTGGTAAATAGGAACCAGGATGCTGAAAACGTTGTACAACAAGTTCGACGTAACAACGTAATAGCAGATAATAATCTGGATGCCATGGTCGGAAGAATCATGGCACGAAACAGAGTAAATTGTGGCCTTCGAAGGCCAAATTATACCTCACCTTTATCCAAATACATCCTTCAGTCAGAATTACCCCTAAGAACAAAGGTTCCTAAGTTTACTAAGTTTTTTGAGGACACCACTGAGTCCAGTGTTGAACATGTGGCTAGGTATTTGATAGAGGCAGGAGACATTTCGAATGATGAGAACCTTAGAGTAAAATATTTTCCAAGTTCTCTTACAAAGAACGCTTTCACTTGGTTCACAACCTTGCCTCCAAATTCAATTCATAATTGGACCCAGTTAGAACATTTGTTCCATGAGCAGTTCTACATGGGACAAATAGAGATTAGTTTGAAGGAATTGGCTAGTATAAAACAAAATTTTACTGAGCCAATAGACGATTATTTGAATAGTTTTCGACTTCTCAAGGCAAGGTGTTTCACACAAGTGCCAGAACATGAATTAGTCGAAATGGCTGTTGGGGGCCTAGATTATTCCATCAGGAAGAAATTAGATACTCAATACTTGAGGGATATGGCCCAGTTGGCTGATAGGGTTCGACAATTAGAACGTTTGAAAGAAGAAAAGGCTAGAGCAAATAAGAATAAAAGAATAGCTTATGTCGAATTCAATGAAGATGACGAAGGGCCCTACAGTGAGCCTATAAGTTTCAATGAGAATGAAGTAGATCTCGCTGAATTGAAAAAGGGTTCACCCTATTCTTGTAAGATTTTATCACCTTTGAATGGGAAGAACCCTACTGAATCAGAAAAAATGATAGGTTTCCTAAGAAAACTTATACATTCGACGTCATAAAATGTGACAAAATCTTCAATTTGTTAGTTAAAGATGGGCAAATGATAGTACCTCCGGGTGCTAAAATTCTCCCTTTAGACCAAAGAAAGAAAAGGGGATTTTGCAAATACCATAATTTCTTGGGTCATAAAACCTCTCAATGTTTTCTTTTCAGGGATCTTGTTCAAAATGCTATCCTGGAGGGAAGACTCAAATTCGGGGAGAAGCCTAAGAACCAGATGAAGGTTGACGCTGATCCTCTGCAAATGGCTGACGCTCACTATACGGAGCCAAAAGAGGTTAACATGGTCGAAATCGCTGAAGGTTTCGACAATGCAGTCAACATGGTTGAAGTCACTGAGGACTTCATTAATAAAGCTGTTTTGGTCCAGGTTACTGAAGATCTTGACCAGAAATTCATGAAAAATTTCGTTCGTGAAGCTACTGAAGGCTTTGTCAAAGAAACTGCTGATAGTTTCGATAACAGAGTTACTAATGGCTTTGCCAAAGGAGTTACTAAGGACTCCAATCTTATGATGATTACGAAGGAAACCGCTGAT